TTCTTCATGCCAATTCGCTATTCCCACTGTGTTAGTAATCAGCAGCTCACTTATCCCCCACCCTGTACCAATTCTCGACCCTCAGCTCGAACATTGCAAAAAATCGATAGAATCGGTAGAAGTAGGCGACAATTTTGAAAAATAATATTGTATCAATCAGAATGCTCGTTTGCCCCTCACCCTGTGCCAGCTATCAGCCCCGCACCTCAAATTTCGCAAAAAAATCGACAAAATCGATAAAAGTAATGGATAATGGCAAAAACAATACTGTATTCGTAATCAGCATGCTCGATTACTCCCTGTGCCAACTCCCAGCCCCAAGGTCAAACTGCATAAAAATCGATAAAAATAGATGGAATCGATATATCGATCGATGACGAAAAGCAGTCTATGACACCCGCCCGCCCCGAAGTGTATGTGTGCCGAGTTTGGTCCGGATCGGTTCAGAAATGTAATTTTCTATTCGGAACATACGTACACACAGACAGACAGACATACAGACAGACATACAAACACATTCAGCTTCATATATAAGATTTACAACACCTACGGACTGTCATCCCATTAAAAGAGAAAAAATCACTGCATTTTTTGGTTTTAAAAGCATCAACAATCTTTTTCAGTGAACGGCTGGTTTAAGGAGTTTTCAAGCTCTTGTTTATATCAAGCGGGTTATAAAATCTACTGAGCATTTTTTGGTAAAAGAGATGAAGAGCGCTATCATGAACCCTGCGTAGTCGCTGATATTGACGGACAAACTTCAACATATAGGATTGAGGCACTTTGCACCGCACAACTCGTCAAGCCAGAAAATAATGTACAGGGTGCAGAAAAAGTACTGTCCCTCAAAATGAAACCAGAAAATCGGCGTAATTCTTAGGTTTTTCTGGTAAACTTGACACAAATCCTAAGATGTGAATGTATTCTACCATTTTACAAAAACTGGCCAAAAAATTCTGCAATCTCACCCAGCGTCCCTTTTCGCTACGCATCCCATATCAAGGTTTGCAATTCCCTTTTACAAGTGTGAAGGAAGTGTGAAGTTTTTGGAAAATTCTTTTGTTTTTAACGTGGATTGAGAATTCCTCTATTGCTTGAGGAATGTTGTAGTGTCTCCGAGATATGCTGGAAGTAGCCAGACCGCAGCTGCAGTAGGAGGAAATTTTCGGAAAGTTTTCCAAAGAAATAGCGTCTGCGGCGCAACAGGGTGCTACCAACAAACGTGGCACAGAAACTAGGTATGATCATTTATCGCTTCAAAATCGTGATGTAGACAAAGTCCCATGCCCTTTTCATTATTCCTGTTACTTTTAGTTTAAATCTGGAATTTCGAGTCATAGTTTGAATATAATTTATTCAAACAAGCGCAATCCTAACTCGCCCCTTTTCGAAAATTTTTGCAATTTGCGTGTGATAAAATCTTCCTTATTTGGCCAAAATAAAAGTCACCAATCTATAATTCGTCTATAATGGGTAGAGAGTATTGGAGAAGAGGTCATGCGCTACATACCAGCACAATTTGAATCTTATATTGATGCTGGTGGTATAGTTACGGTCCAAAGTGCGCTTATATGCTATCGGCGCATCGTTAGTGTTCTTGCGCGCTATTATCACTCGTTCAAACGGACAGAAGGGCCCGTAGTAAACCCCTCGTGGTTGTCACAACATAGAGGGACTATGTCGTGATAGCTCGGAGTATCTCGCAAGACTATAGCGAGCTATCCGCAGGGCGCCGCAAAATCAATGCATAAACACGTGATCGAACCACTGATAGTCGCAACAGCAGCGCCCACAGCAACTGCGCTATGGATAGGCAATTTTGAAGGTGTACCAGAATGGGAAGGGCATGGAGCAGGCAGAGCAGCGTAGGTAACTTATTATGACCGAAACGGCGTGTAATACTCCACACAGTGTGCCTAGTAGATATCAGTATTGTAGAAGTAGTAACCGTTTGCACAACTACTACAACTAACTAACTACTGTAAAATTGCACTGCAAGCTAATTTTGATTAGCAGTGCAGATAGCGCTGCGTCAGTGTCGGATGTCAGTGTGGTTGGTGTCGGGGTACAAATCCTGCCTCGAGCAACTTTTTGCAAGTGCTGGATCTTCAAATTTTTATATTTATGAGCCTAAATTTGAAAATTCTCTGGCAGTAAAAAGGAAATTGTATGCAAAACACATCAAATCGAGAATGCACAGGAAAAAGCAGTATGTAAAATAATTATCACTTTAGTCTGGACAAATATGAGCTATTCCAGCAGCCATAGTGCCAGATGGTCCCTTCACCTAAAAACAGAAGGGAAACAAGAGGCGCACAGCTAAGGAATGGCAAACCAGCAAGTGAAGAAAGTGCTGAGATGGAAAACATTGAGCAGTTTTGGCATAAGCAAGATGTTTGGTGCGCAAATGAGATGCATTGTGAGAATAAATAAGAACAACAGCAACCATTATAAAATGTGACCAAATATGGATCTAATACATCTTTTAATCGAAAGAAACTCACCTTTTTTGAACATCAGAGCGTGCGGCTTAGGAAATATTTCGAAAATGTAGGAAGGCACATTGCTCGGCGCTGTTGGACACTTATCAGTTGTTGATATTGATTGCAATTGACGTGCGTTACAGAGAACCGTGTGCATGTGCGACCTATTGCGAGGTTGGCGTAGTCGAGCTCTAGTCCTGCGCTATGTCTCTGCGTCTCCATGATGGAAAAAGTATTTCGCCGTCTCGTCCGTCACGACATGTCGCAATATGTCGCAATATGTCGCGATGTGTTGACGCTTCGCATTGATTGCGTCCGCCGGCAATAATAAAGGATAGCCGCCTTGCCTGCCTCGCTCCGTGGTAGTCAGCACATGTCACAGCAGACTCCGAGCTACACGTCAGCACATACGTGGGGTTTACTGCAGGCCAAGGGAACAGTTTCAAATCAAACTTAACTAATCCCAAGGGTCTCGCTTACGTATGGGAATCAAAAAACTACAGATTTGCTTTATGTTTGAGGTGTTTCTGGAGCCAAACTGGAGGGACAGTATTTTTTCCGCACCCTATAATGTAGCTTTATGACATCCATAAAACAGTTAACTTGTGTGCATGACTAGGAAAAAATTTCGGATTTCAGCCTTCTGGTTCATCCGCAGTTGACACCCACTGAGTTTTTGTGGAGCACCCTGCACATCATAGCCAACTCAGATCACGAGATAAAATAGGAGACGCTTAAACCTTTGAAGTCTTAGCTAATCTCATTAATCGGGTGAAATGTGACATGAAACACAGAAAGAAATAGGGAGATCAATAGTTATGTAAAATAATCTCCTCGTACAGCATTTTCGTGGAAAGTTGTTCAGATCTGAATAGCAACTTCATCATTAGGGAAAATCAAAGAGTTGCTGCAAAAGCTGCATCACCATGTAGGCAATATAACAAATCAAACCCAGTGCTTTATGAACATTGCAAACAGAGTTTTGTGGAATAAAATCGTGACAACCCTATGGTGAGGTTGGAGTCTGACCGTCATTATCAGCTATTGTGCAGAGTTTATGGAAGTGTTCTATACCTCATTTACTAAAGAAGCTTAGAAGATTTTATGACTACCGCTTGAAATAAACAAGAGCTTAAAAACTCCTTTAACCGGCTGTTTGTTGGAACAGAATTTTGATGCTTTTGAATTGAAAAATAAAGTCATTGTTTCTATTTGAATAAGGTAACAGCCCGTAAGTGTTGCAAAGGTTTCATAATTGAGGGCTTTTTCGAATTTTTCTGTTCTCTCCCTTCAAACATGACAAGATTGGAAGCTTTGAGGAGGTCATGGTAGGTTAGCTTGCGCGCAATACAGCAAAGTTTGAGACAGATTTATTGACAAGAACGAAAACTACGACAATGTCTAGAGTGTCTTTATAATTATGTCCAGCATTGTATAGAGTGGAAAAGCTGCATTACCCACATTGATTCGTTCGTCCGCCATTTTACTTGCGCTTATAGTTATTTGCGCCTGCAGTTGTGCTAATCATCGTTATTGGAAACTCGTGACCTCAGATATGCACCTCAGTTCGGCTGTCAAGGGATCCTAGCTTTTTCACCCTTCAAAATAACTATTTTCTAAGCTAGGGTCTGCTTGACAGGGCTTGCCCTGTAATGGCATCTAGAAGAATTTGTTAATAAAGGGGCGAGCATGAAATTACGTTACCAAGCCAGAGTACCTCAACTCTGTCCCTCCTCTGCTTGAAATTAGAGACGCGGTTACGTTGCCATGCCAGCGCTCCCGCCCACTTGCGCCATTCGTGCGTCCAAGTACAGTATGCTATGATGACTCAACAGACGAATTGCTCAAGCTCACTATGACGGTTTTACAATCACTGGAAGAGGTGCACCAGTAATTTTGAAATAACTTTAAATAATCTGATCTAGACAACTAAGCTGTGACAAGTACCCAGTTCAATTGGGAAAAAATCAATTTCTCGGGTTTTTATTACACCCCTTGTTTTGAAACCTGTACACTATAACCACAAAAACTCAGTGCAAAACTCTGCTATGATCACCGCGATCAAATTTGCTTACTTCACCCGCACGAGAAATGTAATAGCAGATAAATGCATTTATTTTCGTGTCAAAATAATAAGCACAGAAATAAAAAAACATTGCACAAGGGTCAAGTACAGCATACCGAGAGATTCTGCAACAAAAAATACACAGGATTCACAGAAATATTCTTATGTTTACATAAACCACAGATACCGCAAAAAAATCTACATTGAATTTAGCCATCAATCTCAGTGATGCAACGGTCATATTCCTGCCACATACCGTGCAGCCCATGTACTAAAAATACGACTCAGTTTTTTTTTCATATAATGCAATATTACCTGCAGAATAACGTAGGAGTGCCCTACGGGCAACTGATGCGCTGAAGGTGCTGCATCAAAAGGTCCGAAAAACGTGTCTCCAGACCTGAACGTTCAAGGTCACCATACAGTAAGCATTTCATTATTAACCTTGCATCTTATTTTCCTGGTTCAGTTAGATCCGTATTCATTTGACTGCTTGATCGAACGGGAACAAACGGATCTGGACGAACAAGATTCATGTCAAGAAGTTGCCAAACGATTGATTGCAGCAAACACCCTTCCTGGAAGGTGAAACTATACCGTGGACACAGAATAACATGAAACATGAATGCCAATGCACAGATGACAGGTGCACGCATGGGCATTGATGACAGGCGGCGAGCATGCCATCATGTGATAAGTACAATATGTCCGGAACGTAGCATGCCGCGCCGTGAAAGGGGTCAATAACTTCTGCAGCCTTTCCGCTCTAACTCGACATCAATGCCCTAGAATCACCCAACGAGGTCAAATCATTATCATACAGTTCCGAAAACACAGCGCAATGTTACAGAGTGGTTAATTTGAAATTCAACCACTTTTCCTCCGATTAGGGTTAAAATTTGCACTTACTGGTATTCTAACATGTTTTTTTAAAGATGCTTGTGGTTTTTCCTGAAACTTCGAAATTTTATAAAATTTTTCGAAAAATTCAGCAGTCAGAGATAAATTTCAAGGTGTCAAGCAAAACCACAACCAAATTCGGAAACAGTAGATCACAAAATATTTGAACTTTATCTTCACCAAAATGCAATGAAATATTAGGTTGCAAAACTTCTTGCACATTATTTTTAAAAAATCATAACTTCTTGTTCTCTCAACCAGTCTGCATACCCTCAATTTTCTGAATATCGGAAACCCTTTTCTTGCTTGTAGTGCCTCTGCTGCTGTGTTATAGTAAGTTTAATAATTTACGCTTTCCATCTGCGGAATTTGTGTCAAAAGAGTTTGTGTTCTGTGAGAAGTTAGGATTTCTGTGTAAGTGAAACAAAACAGCAAATTTTATTTTTTTTCTGCATTTTTTTCGAAAAACATAATTCTTTAAAGAAGAGGTCTTTGAACACAAATTTTGAACAGATGGAAAGGTTTGGATTGAAGAATATACTATACTTTTTGTTCGAAAATTTTTTCACAAGTATTAGTTTTAGCAGCTTAATTCAAAGTTGTCAGAGGGCGCGGATCACCGACCTACCGATCTTCAGTGGCGGGAAGAAAAGCCCGCGCTGACCCCTTCGGCAGGGTATAAATACCGAGAGTCAGGGGGAGGCCTCGGAGTCCGCGCTGAGGAAGCGCTAGCGGGAGCTAACTCCGTCGAAGAGAAGCGGATCTCCCCCTTAGATAGAGAGTAACCAGTAAACCTGCCGAAGTGGTCAGAGGGTAAAGCCCGTTGTTTCGTTGTTAAGCCTTGTTCATGTTACACGTTCTTGTTTCTTGTTGTTCGTTGCCGTTTTTTTGAGATAAACTATTAGTCGTTCAATCCCTATTGTCTATCGATCCGGTTGAAACCGTTATACCACTAGACACCCCCGGTTACAAAGTGACCGAAGGCGAAGTAATTCTATTCTTCTGTTTCCACTCAAAAAACTGCTCCTTAGGGGGCAGCAAAGACATGTCACAAAGAAAAAGGTTTTCCCTACCCTACCGCACAAGTCATAAAATTGTGTAAACCCGTTGAGAGAGCAAGAAGTTGTAATTTTTCAAAAATGATGCCCAAGAACTCCCGGGCCAACCTTACATCACCTAACTCTGAATTTTGGGCGTCATTATCCAAAAATCGTAATTTCTTTCCCTGGTAACTATTTTGCACGGCAAAAATGATGTTGGAATCAGTAATTCATACTTTGTAATAATCTGCAAAATCGATAGATTTGCTTTTTTTATAAATCTATAAAATAAAAGATTCTCATTGTAACTCTATTTTGGTGAGCTTCCAATATACACTCATTGCAGAAATAATAAAGAAAAACGAGGACACATGGGCTTTGCGCATTTTAAGTTAGATGGTCAAAATTCTGGAACGTTGCGAAAAAGTCGTTTGTACCATCGGCTCCCGATTGCTGCGAGGGCGGTCGCGATGGTCAACCGATAATCAATTTATCAGCTATGCTTCAACACAGGGCAACCGCACGCTGATACGCTCGCTCAAGTCCGCCCTCGCGGCAATCGGGGAGCCGATGTTACATAAAATCGGCGTTTTCTGTTGTGGACTCTAAAATGATAATTTTCGCAGAGAAGTTTAAACTGCGAACGTTTTTCTCATTGCAAGGAGTAGGTTACGCAACTTGTATGCTGAGTATTTCAGATTTCGCAATTTCCAAGTTTTTGACGACCTAACTAAAAACGATCAAAGCTTGAACGGCCTTATTTTCATTTCTATCCCGCAGTGAGTGTTTAGTAGAAGCTTGTCAATTAGATTTACAAAAAGAATAAATTTATTTTTGTAATAAAATTATAAATAGCAAATCCGTCAAGACAGCGATGAGCTATAGATATTCAGAAATCAAACGACAAAACTTTTATGGCAGTCTAATTCTTACTATTTTGACAAAGAATGCGCAAAGTTAAATTTTGCATTTTTGGCCACTCACACTGATATTGCGGTTTACAGCGTATGAATAAAATGCTTTGATTTTAAATTTTTTTTCGCCATTCTCACATTTTTGATGTAAAGTTCTATTTTAGTATTTTAGATTACTTACGTTGAAGGGGGTTCGGTCCTCACATGTTGTTGTAGAACTGTTTACCGTAACTGTGGTTGTGTTTTGCTCGCATACGGTGTTTATTACTGCATTGCTCTGCATTGTTTTTGAGATCACATCTGGTGTCTGCCGGGGCATACTGTATCTCGTGATGTTATGTTGCACGATTCGCACCATCATATGCATCGCATGTGTGTAAATATGATGACGAAATGATGCTACATTAGTCTCATAGTTGTGTCCCCCGCGATCGGTCTTCAGTGCCGAAGCTTGCTTTCATGCGATCCAGTCTCACATACCGTTCATTTGGTACGTGTTCTTTCACGTTTGCTCTCTGTATGCTAATCGCCAGTTGCTTCACTTCGCTGCATGCTTCGCTAGGGCGGTACCCTATGTAACGCTGTTACCAACTGAACGTATTCGGGCCAATCCCTTAAGTTATCCAAAAGAATCTCGGCGTACTCTACCGAGTTTTCTTCCATGGCTCTGTCTGGATGAGCCGATCTACCTATCTTCTCCAAGGCAACGCTGAATTCTGCGACATCTTGGTATGGTCTAATCCTGAGAGACCTTAGCTCAGCCATGGCCCTCATCCTACTAGCTACTGAATCCCCTGCTAGCAAATTTCCCAATTCTTCAATCACTTCATCAAACCCCTTATTTCTTATTGTGGGTGCTAATGTCCTCATTACATTCTTTGCCTGCCCACCTAAGTGATTGTCAGCTAATATAGCTATAAGGGTGTCTGTATCTGTGATTACTTTTAGCATACTTTCTCTTGAATTTTCTTACAAATTCACCGAAGTTTTCGTTGGACTTCCCATGAAAAACACCCGAATCCGAACAAGAGAGGGATTGAACATAATCTAGAAATCGCAAATCATCTTGCTGACCTCTTAGTTCCACGTCCCTGTCCCTTGAACTGGGTGATCCCGACACAAAGTTGTTCAAGTTTTGTTCGAACAGCGCTCCAGTCGCCTTGGATTGTACTGCTGGGGCTGCAAAGTATCTCTTTGATAAGCAGTCTTCTCTATGCCTACTACAGTTTGCATTGACTCACCCTGCTTGACTTTTTCCGTTACCTCCCTTCTTTTTATTTCTTGAATGGCTGCCGTCACCTGAAGCACATCAGTATTTAGCATATTGCGTGCTTGTGCCAGAATCTCCCTGTTTCTCTCAGCCACCCTTACAAACTCTCTCCAGTCCTCCACTATACCTAATGTTTTCATGGCTTCGGACATACCGTCCCGTTCATCCTCTATACTACGGCACTGTCTGCCACTTCATTTAGTTCCCCACTCCACTCTCTCACTTTTTCCCTTATGAACATTTCGTATTTTTCCTTGTACCTGGCTGAAATTTTGTGCTCCATCATCTCACTTGATGTCTCTTCAGGTACCCTTTCCAAATCCTTTCTTAGCCTCTCAATCCTTCTCTCTATACTATCATAGAAACTCACATCTCTGTGTCCATGTGCTCTTCCGGCGCTTGAGCTTCTTTGCTCGCTTCCATTCGCTTTCTGCAAAAACTAATTTGATTGTGTTTTCCCCTTCACATCAACGATGATTTCAAAATTCGCCCTTACGTGCGGCGAAAATTACTAAATTGCAGAAAGTGGCTCGGCCCCCATGTAAGGGATAGTGTGACCACTGGATAGTAATCCAGCCGATGATGTTCCGGCAGAAAATGATGCTAGCAGCGAAGAAATATCTTGAGGGGGGGGGGGCGGAAAAATAGTCACTGCATGGCCACCGATAACGTTGAAGAATCATGATTTGTGGCGTGAACTATCGGGATTATGGAAGACCTTTGATGAGACGCTGAGTCCCGGAAGGAGGTGCGCAGTTCTTCAATAGTTATGTGGGAACCGCCATGAATAAGTATACTTACGAATGTGTCAAAAGACGAGCAGTGGATGCTTACCTGCCCAAGTTGGACGTTTACAGACCGCGTATCAGGACATCGAGGACGATATCTCCAGGAGGGGAGGGCGTGTCAGGCCCATGGCCACCGAAGAGAAGACCAATTTAGATCAAAGGCGATCGAAGGCGCGCGCTCGGACGGCAGGGAGGCGCCGCAGGCCAGATCTTAGTTCACTGTTGATTTGTTTCTTGTTCCGACGCCACGGAAAGTGGCGTCCGTCTTGTTTCGTTTTTTTGTTTTTCTAATAAACGCATTCTGTTGTCTTGTTCTTTGCTCGCTAAAAGGGTAACATCCCTTACATTATGAGTTTTCAGAAAGAGTGAGTATATTATGAGTTTTCAGAAAGAATGGTTATGGACACCGAATTGGTAGATCGTTTGGTCAACGTTCCTGGTCTGTATCTTATCTCACCGGCATTGGCTCTCCAGATTAGCACTTTCTCCCATCCAGGGCAGTTTTGTGCAAAGTGAATTATGATAGTTTTTTATAAGTCTGCCTTTGAGTTCCACCTCTGTCAAAGAATTTGTACGATTGGAAATTTGTTTTAAGTCCATGTCACGCCTTCTGGGCCCTTTCGACCGAATGCCGACAGCTGAGGTATTGCCAAGCAGTCCGGAACGACATTTCATACTACGGGTTGGCCTAAATTAGCATAGTTGAAAATCACACATTAGTAACTTTTCAGAAAGTGGCTCGTCTAGGATTAGTAAGCATGTTTCAATTCATCAAAAAAATCATCTAGTAAGCTATCAGCATTTACATTACGCTAGATTTTTCACGTTTCTATTTCATGCGTTGCAGATCGTCTTCAGGCCATCCACGCCGCCCTCTCTCCATCTACTTCACCGGGTATAAGTCATCTGCGCGATGGTGAAATTCCCGGTCATTTGATACCGGGTTTCGATGTATTTTTAACTGTGAATGTATTCTCTTGAAAAGTCTTGTATATAATGAATTTGCAATAACCACTATGTACTCTAACAAATTTTCTTTCCTCGTTTTTCCTTTTCATTCAACATCTGTCATAATACGCATGAATAAGATTTGTTTTTGAAAATAAAAGCATTTATCCATGCGTAGATTGTATGTGAATTGAAAATGGAAACAAGGCAAAATCGTTATGTCCAGCCCTCATGGCAGAGGTAATGAAAAATTATCAAGTGTTAGGAACGTAACTGGCACCCAGTCTGCACCGGAGAGGTGCTAATTCTGCACACAGTTATCAAGCCTTTATTCTAAGGTGTATCGAACCGAGATTCTCCTAAAGTTTCAATTTCAAAGGTCGGTAATACTGTCGTCTAATTGAGGCAAGAATTAGTATTCCAAACGGTTCTCTCTCGCTGTTTCCGAACATGATATTGGCTTTGCTTCAAATCCTAAGATCCTTCTTTTTGTATTTCGAACTTTTCTTGATAAACGAATTTTTCAAATTTTCCATCTATGGTTTTCTACAAGGTTGTTTTCAAGCTCATACAATGCTTGAAACTTCAAAAAAATTTTCGATATCCAACATTTCCAATAAACTACATTGGTTCGAAAGTGCTGTCGCACTGATCAAATAGCTCCTCCTTTCATTATACTGCGGCTCGGCACTAATTTTATTAGCAAGGGTCACTCATGCTTTTTGACGCTTTAAGTAATCACTGCAATGCTTTAAATGCAAAGTTATTGAAAAAGGAGATCTTTTGATGTTAAGCGATTTGATCATAACTTATCAAAGAAGAGTTCGATTACCATATACTTCGTTCATATGGAAAGAAAAGGTCAGAAAGTTTATGACACTAACTATTTTGGATTTTTTGCACAACTTTTGACTAATTAAAGGGCTCCTCTCGTTGATCCTCAAACAATTTCAATTGCTTATATATCTTTGCGAGAAAAGCTCTTTGGAGGACAACCAGAATGCCATTAAAACGAGAGACAATCTAATATACAAAAATCGACTGCACAATTATTCAGTATTTATTACAGCATCTATGAGGGTGCCCCAGTGCTAAACGAATTTTACATCGATTATATGAAAATATATGAATGTGAGACTGCAATTCTTCGTACATTAAATCACAGCATTGTGGGTGGTCCTAAGCGATGATTGAATTTTGCACCAAGTCATATGAAAACAGTGAGGAAAATATTTGAAATCACAAAAAATCAGCACCAACTTAAAAAGAAAAACGAGTTGCGCTTCGTTTGACACTGTAGCTTACGGTAACAGTATGGATGGTTTACGGTGCTAAAAATGAACTTTACTTCAATCCTGTGGATATAATGAAAAAATGCTTGAAATCAAAAAATTTAGATCCATCGTAGCAAATGAATGCTATTTTATGATACTGTAAATTACGATATCAATGTGGGTGGTTCAGGGCTCTGAAATGTAATTTTGCATTACATTATATGAACACAGTGACAACTGTATGCCAGACAAACACACTTTACTATGCTTCGACACTGTTGATAGGTGTGCCTCAATGTGCTAAAAATGAATTTTGTACTAATTTACATGAAAATACTTCAAAAATAGTTAAGACGCAGAAAATCAGCTGTATATTCGAAAAAGTGCATTTTCCACACTATATTTACAGTCATATCAGTCCACACCTCAGAGTGGTAAAATTGAATTTTGCATCAAATTATACATAATTTGAAGAAAATATTCACGACTACGAAAATCAGCCGTATGTTAGAATAACCAATTGTGCTATCCTTGTAGATAAAGTTTGTTTTGGGGCAGAGCTTGCCTGTGATGGCAACTTGAAGAATTGTTAATACAGGGGCGAGCATGGAATTAGTTTACCAACTGCCATGGTACCTAAACTCTGTCCCTCCTCTGCTTTGGGATTACAAACGCGGTTACGTTGTCACGCCCTCGTTAAACCCCGCCCACTTGCGCCATTCGTGCGTCCAAGGCTACAGTATGCTATGATGAGTCACGGACAAACTGCTCAAGCTCACTATTTCATTTTCATTTTCATTAAATACGCTCAAGGCGTACCATAAAAAAAAACAGAAACAAACAGTGTAATTGTTAGTTTTACACAAAGCACGAATAACAACAGAACATCATATGCTTCAGGCCCAGACTTCATAAAAAAGCATAACGACATAGCTTGCAAGAAGACTGCTGGATATTATGAATGTCAATGATGAGTTATATCCACAGAGATGGAACCCATGCCCCCGCGTTAGCCAGCAAACGATCTTAAAGTATTCAAACAAGCAAACGACGGCGGGTACATACCCACCGGCCTGCCGGGGAGAGCCCAAAACTCTATGAGCATTGCCATATGTGCAAAACAGAATATCGTCAAGTACTGCACAACGAATGAATCTAAACAAATTGTTATCTAAGGAGATGGTACCCATGCCCCTTCGTTTGCTAGCCACGATCTCAAAAGATTTCCAAGAAACAAACCGGAATTTATAGTTCAACCAGTTTGCCGAGGAGAGCCCAACTTCAAAGCAAGAATAAGCATAATATGATCTTCAAGCAATCAAAGCAAGCAAGCTGTGCGAAACAGGCTAAAATATAGATGTGACCAGGCTTGAACCACATGATGAAGAGAACAGTGTTAGTAAAGGCTCAAAAGCAGTTGAGTTCAACATATGCAAAGTTATAAATTGGCTGCTAGTCAGTGCATATTCGTAACCCAATCATGCTCATTGCACATGTCTGGTTGTAACCGCGCAGTCATAAAAGAAGGGAAGTAAGGTACGTTGAACCTGCAAAAAAGTCATTCAATCTTCTTTTTTTAAGCTCTCTTCTGAAAGAGGAATTATCACTGCATGCCAAAAGTTCGTGTGGTAATTCTTGTAACATTTTTGATGTGCGAACAAAAAACTCCTGCTCAAATAAGGAACGAAATCGTTGTCGCCCACCAAAGTGACGGAAATAAATAGAGAATGCACAAGTCCTTCCATGGCTAGGTCTGAAAACCCAGTACTTGGAAGGCCTCAACCTGGTTTCACCCCTAAAAATCCTGAAAGCTAATATGATATCATGAACAACTCTCCGATATGTGATGCTTTCAAGATCAAGAATTTTCAACCTCTCTTCATAACTAGGAAGTAATCGGGGGTAAGCTGGATTAGGAAAACAGCGGTAGAAAAGCAGTTTTGTGAACACTTTTTGAACCTTCTCCAATGCCTGCTTGTGCTTCCTCAGGGAGGGGCTCCAAACTTGAGTCGCATATTCGAGAACGGGAATAACAAGGGCTTTATAAAGTCTCAATAAAATTTTTTGATCAGTTGATTTGATGTTTCTAAAGATTGTGTATAAGATGGAAAAAGCACGGGAGGTGACGGAGGCAATCTGTAG